ATTCTTCGGAAGTCTGAATTCAATTTTCTGTAACTTTTCCTATCTCCCTTGCATTTTGTTTCCCTTTTCTTCTCTGCCATTTGTAAGGCCCCGTTGGTCAGCCACTTTACTTTCTTGCATTTCCTTTTCTTTGATATGTTTTTTGTTGCTGCCTCCTGTACAATGTTACAAGCCTCCAGCCATAGTTCTTCAGGCACTCTGTCCACTAAATCGAGTTCCTTAAATCTGTTCTTCTCTTCCATATTCATAAGGGAATTGGTTTAGATTATATCTGACTAGCCCAGTGGTTTTTCCTACTTTCTTCAGTTTAAGCTTGAATTTTGCTATAAGAAGCTGATGGTCAGAGCCACAATCAGCTCCAGGTCTTGTTTTTGCTGACTGTATAGAGCTTCTCCATCTTTGGCTGCAGAGAACATAATCAATTGATTCTGGTATTGCCCATCTGGTGATTTCCATGTGTAGAGTCACCTCTTGTGTTGTTGGAAAAGAGTGTGATGACCAGCTTGTTCTCTTGACAAAACTCTATTAGCTTTTGCCCTGCTTCGTTTTGAAGTCCAAGGCCAAACTTACCTGTTGTTCCTTTTATCTCTTGACTCCCTACTTTAGCATTCCAGTCTCCTATAAAGACAAGAACATCTTTCTTTGGTGTCAGTTCTAGAAGGTGTTGTAAGTCTTCATAGAATTGGTCAGTTTCAGCCTCTTCAGTATTGGTGGTTGGTGCATAAACTTGGATTACTGTGATGTTGAAAGGTCTGCCTTGGAATTGAAATCATTCTATCATTTTTGAGATTGCATCTCCGTATAGCTTTTTCCACTCTTTTGTTGGCTATGAGGGCTACTCCATTTCTTCTGTGGGGTTCTTGCCCAGAATAGTAGATATGATGGCCATCTGAATTGAATTCGCCAATTCCGTCCATTTTAGTTCACTGACATCCAGAATGTCAATGTTTATTGTTGTCATCTCCTGTTTGACCACATCCAGCTTACCAATGTTCATAGATCTTGCATTCCAGGTTCCTATGCAGTATTTTTCTTTGAAACATGGGACTATCCTTTCACTTCCAGGCACATCTGCAGCTGAGCGTCCTTTTGGCTTTGGCCCAACCACTTCATTAGCTCTGGAGCTACTTGTACTTGTCCTCCACTCTTCCTCAGTAGTATTTCGGACACCTTCTGACCTGAGGGGCTTATCTTCCAGAGTCATATCTTTTAGCCTTTTGTACATAGACATGCTGGGCCATATGTATGAAGCTGTTGAAGGCACAGCCTTTCTGTCCAGAATGATGGTGGTAAACTCTGGTATTGTAAACAATGTGTGTATGAACATTTTAAACTGAATCAGATAGTTGTTCAAGCTAGCCAAGACAACATTCAATCCAATTGGGAAAAGCTCTTTAAACCTCAAGCAGACGTCTTTCAAACTCTGCTTCTGCAATTCATGCAAGGGACTGAAGGTGGTATTGCATTATCTGCACCATTGATCCAATATAGGGCCCAGCTGTGGTTCACCTTTTGCTGGCATCTCAAAGGTTTCAGATACAATCTTCAGCATTGATCTCTCTTTCAGCATCCAGAGCTTGTTGGATTGCAACACCATACAGCACAGTTAATGGTGAGGAATATTGGAAATTGTACTCTGACAACATCCGGAGGCTGCACTTTGTCCCCTTCTATCTTAGGAGGTTAATAACAGGAAAGAAGAAAATATCACCTGCCTGAAGTCCTTTATTTTTCTTGTGGATGGGCAGTAGCAACCTGCACAGCACTTAGGCTCTTGGAACAGTGGTTCAAGCCTACACTGAAGCAATGAACAGTGTTCTGTCCTTGTAAAGGTATGCAAATATGATTGACAATTCATTTGGGATGCATTACTCTGCCACAGCATGTTCCTAGTATTAAAAATAAATAAATAATGACTAGATTCACTGCATTGAGTTAGCCAGAGGGTAAATTATGTGGAGAGTAAACAACCTGGAAAGCCACTAAAGAAATGTGGAAGGATGGTACACAGTTGCTACACACATTGTTCACAGCAAAATTTAGTCATTGGATGCCTATATATGTGCTTATGAAATAATGCAATCTGTACCTGGCAGAAAGATATGGATGAGCTGCATGCAAGTGTGAAGAACATACAAGACACTTCAGTTTTTCATGTACTGTATTTAGAAGCAACCTGCATTGTCTGCTGGCAGTAGATTCATTGTACTACAGTGAGAATGTAGTTGTGTACAACCTTGTGCCACTTCAATCATTACCCCTGTCCTTACATAGGTAAATATCTGTCTCCAGTGATGACAGAGGCACATTGGCTTATAGGGATTAACTTATTGTTGGCAGTTGATTGTACAGAGATCCTATATCACTAGGTATCTCAGCTGGATTCCACAGTCCAGGGCTAGAGTGTGTCAGGTCACTGTTTCAAATACATTAACCTACTGTAGAAGGCTGATGAGAAGAAACACTAAATCTGATGACTGTGTTGAAATTTGATTTCCTTTCATAATGTTTATAAACAAGGCTACTTAAGATCTAGGAACTCAGAAAGCCTCTCAAAGGGACGTAACTCAGTGGTAGTGCACAGACTCTGCCTGCAGGACCTCCCTGACATCTCCAGAGAGGACTGGGTAGGAAAAAAATTTGTCTCAGATGCTGAAGAGTCACTGGCAGTCAATGTCAACAGGCTACATGGAGCAGCAGTCTGACTCATTATATGCCAGCTTTCTATGTTCCTTTGAAAATGAATGGAGTGTAAATTAGAGATACTGTATTTGTAAATGAGAGATATTTGCACAGTTTAAAGTCACTTAATGAAACGAGAAACAAGAAGCTTCAATTAAAGTTTGTAAGGGCTGTCTTCCAAATGCCCAGATGTGTTTTGAACACCAGATTTCACCTAGAATCTGGCCTCCTCAAAATGGAAGCTAGAGTAAGCCTTGATCAATTTTTGGCTTAAGTTAAATTATTGCTGTATTCGCGAAGGCTTTCAGGGCCGGGATCTAATGGTTGTTGTGGGTTTTTTGGGCTCTTTGGCCGTGTTCTGAAGGTTGTTCTTCCTAACATTTCGCCAGTCTCTGCCTGGCATCTTCAGAGG